AGAATGTGCAGGAAGGATTGAAAAGCATGTTAACACGGTAATGTAGGCTTGAGTTCATTATCTGACGCATGCAGATACACACCAGGAACCTGGAAATTTAAAAGATACTGAATTACAAAAAACATTTAAAAAACAAACAGGTTTCGTTGATATTTATACAAAATGAATATTAGGAACTTTATTTATCAAGCATTATACTGGGCAAGTAAAAATTGTTTCTGGGCAAATGAAATGTGAAAGTCACTTGCTTCAAAATATAATTTGTATAGCCACAAAATCAAGTTTATATTCTCTGATGTCATAAAGTTGTAAATTCATTTTAAAGCGAATAAGATTCCTCAGATTTACCAGTTGGTTTGGTTTCCAGCATCCCATGAGTTACTATGACGACTACATCCTTCTCCTCTGCAGGTCTGCCGCCAGCGTTCCGTGTGGAAGGCTCCGCCCCCCAGAGCGAGCCGCCTCCCTGCGTGCTGGAGAAGCTGTGTGAGCTTCATGACGGGCTGGTGGTGGAGGCCAAGGGCATCAAACAGCACTACTTCAAGCCGTACATCCAGAAGCTGTTTGAGAAACAGGTGAGCCCCCGCCCCCCGGCAGCCGACAGGTAAACGCATCGGTTCTCAGTTCAGTTTGACCTCCATGTTGGTCCTCCTCTGTGTGACACTCAGATCCTGAAAGGAAACGAGACGCTTTTGACCGAAATGCTGGATCCTCACCATTTTATCGATAACAAGTAAGAAATGCGAGTTTGGTTTCCAACGTTTATTAAAACGTTATTTTTGTTTAACTTTATGTGAATTTTGCGCCGCTCCTTCGTCATGTGATGTGTGCTTTTCTGACCACAGTAAAGCCATAAACAGGGAGTATGAGGAGTACGTGTTGACGGTGGGGGACTTCGACGAACGAGTGTTTCTGGGGGCCGATGCTGATGAGGAAATCGGAACCCCGAGGAAGTTTGTTGAGGAACGGGCTGCCAGCCAAGCAGCCGCAGCAGCAGCAGCTCAGAGCCAGCTCCAACAGCAGGTGGAGAAGGTACCGACCCACACAGACCGTCTGAGGCCGCTTCCTCAGAAACGTTTCATCATTATTGGCTAGATTTCATCAGCACAGGAAGAGAGGGTTCTAGTTATATGATGCCACTTTTCTTTCTAGTTTTATATTCATCTCAGGTTAGAGAGGTGTCCAAAATGTCACCCAGGGTCCCATTTGTGGCCTTTGGGGTCAATTTTCTTTAACCTCAGTCAGAGAAGGGTGCATATTTAGCACTCCAGTAAACTGAGCCAGTCCAGTCATTTTTTGGACAGTTGTTGCATGTGGAATGGAGGACAGGCTGTGGTTGCAACCATGCTATTGTCAGAAGGTCCAGTAGGGGGAGCCCCACCTGAATGAAGGCCTGAACACAGTGGTTGCGTACAACTTTTTAATCCCCTATCCGATTTTTTCTCCTGCTTATAAAGAGGCTCCGACTAGGCAGGGTGAGCAGATTATTTTCACTCCTGTCTCTGTGCTATACATACATGAAAAAATATTCCCACTCTGACTTGGATAGATTATGAAAAGTTATAGAAAATTTAAAAAACAAAAACAAGCAGTGTATTCTATAATGCAAAGCTCCACTTATCGAGTCTGTGCAGCATCTGAAACCAGAACAAATAGACAGTGTTCATATATTAAAAACATAATGAGATCTACGCCTAAAGTAAAGAAAAACGCAGCTATAAATGGCGTGGGACGGTTTCTATGGTGACTGAGGCAGAGAGGTGATTCTCAGAGAGAGATTTGCGTAGTTTATCTAAGTTTTTCTTTTTTCATAAAGAGGTGAGAGAGCTTACCTGCTCTGTCTGACCCTCCTTAGTGGGGTTTTTGTGAGGCTTAAAGAAAGACTTTATCTATTTTCTGTCCTCCTGATGCAGAAAGTTTTTTATTTTAATGTTTAAATTCAATTCTATTCAGTTTATTTCTATGGCTCCAATTCACATCATGTCATCTCAAGGCACTTTCCAGTTC